GGCGGCTGATGGATCCGCGTCGTGCAGATGGTTCTTCATGGCCCGGGCAAGCAAGCGCTCGATGCGAGCAGAGGCCTTCGCTTGCTTTTCGGATTCCCCGGGCGGGTGGTAGACGCGGAGCCGGTTCCAACGACTAAGCCAGTCGTAATCACTAAGGCAGGACTCCAGCAACTCTGACGGAGGGGCCAACACCACAACTTCAGCTGCGCCCTTCCCGTCAGAGACGATGGCCATCCTCGCAATACAGCCGTCGGTAGAAGACAACTTCCCATTGGGATCGACAAACGCCGCCAGTGCTACAGACCCCGGCACATTAACCAAGGGTTGCGCAGCACTTGCCTTCATCAGAAATTTAAGCCAAAAAAACTGAACTGACTTGCCACAATTGTTACGTCTTACAACCTGAGCCGAATTGCTCAAGGTTCGAGACCGAGTGCGCGTGCTACCCCCACCGGCTCGTGGACTTGCTGTTGCCAGAGGTGGCGCAGGCCGGGTATGAGGCGCGTTTCACGGTGAAGGGACGACCGCACAAGGCGCGCGCGTATGAGGCACCTAGAGCCGGAGCTGCGTGAGGAGCTGGAGGTGAAGGAGCAGTTGGAGATGGGTGTGATCAGGCCGTCAAAGAGCGAGTGGGGCCGCAGCACCGCACTTCGTCAAGAAGAAGACGAGAAGTGGCGGTGCGTGCTGGGCTAGAGGCGCGTGACCAGCGGTGGATTCCTATCGCAAGGACTCGTATATGCCCGCATCGACATTGACGCATCCCGTAGTAGTGTTGCGATCTCACAGCTGTGTGTAACCAACTGATTTCGTGCAGTCGGGTCCTAGCCCCCTCACCCTTCTTCCCTCACCCTTCTTTTGGGATGATCCTCGAGAGCCACTAACACACGATGGCTACTAACCCTGTTGACAACTCTGTGGCGGAGCTGTCCATGGTGGGTTGCAAGGCCGGGTGGTGTGTCAGTGGGCAAGGTCAGTTGTTGTGTCTCGCCCGCCTAATTTACTCGGATGTCCGACGGCAGATGACTGGCGCGCGGTTGATGAGATCGACCGTAGATGTCACCTGAGTGGCCTCATCTCCGCCAAGATAGCACACCGTGGCCGCTGACAGGCCCGGAATTGGCAGAAGAGCAAGGTTAAGCGGATTGACTGCAGGGAGCGTCGGGATTTTGTGCACACACCTTTGTGTGTGCGGCCTCCGAAAAGTATGCAGCCACATCCCTGGCGGCACATTCGCTCTCAAGACACATTAATTGCCCTCCTTGCAAGCAAATTCGCTTTGTCATCTGATGGCGTGGCTGTCCTCGTTTCATTGTGTAGCGCTAAGTCTCGAACCGGGGCTTGGCCGCTTTCAAGTTGTTCGCATCGGGTTAAGATAATCAACGAGGCCAGGCGCTTGCAGGCCGCCAGTAGGCACACGCGATTCGTCTAATATGGCACAGGAGATCGAACTGCCCTAAGCCACTACCTCGGGAGTGCGACGATCAACTCGGCCCTGATACCGATCCACTGCCGCCACCAGTCCAGACGAGATAGTGTTCAATGCTACCTCGAACCGTACTTGACCTGCGCCACCTTGGGGTCTCCTTGAACTCCTCCAGGAGCTCCCACAGCCGCTCGCCGTCCATCTGCTGTGTATTTTGAAAACAGCCGTTTCTGCTTCGCGTGGTTCGTCTCCACTGCGACTGTCGTAGCCCCTCTTGGCGGGTCCAAAGGCGGGGTCTCCCCGTACTTTGGGGCACGTCATTTGGCGGCATGACCGCGAAGGTGACGTCCTTCTTGTACTCGCCGATGCGCGTCTCGGCTGGTGCTGTGAGGGGCAGGTTGCCGGATCCCAGTACCGTGTCGGTTCGCATGCTTTGCCCTGAAATTGACACACCCGCTCTCTCTCTATAGCGCTTTCGAAGTAGACTATGCTCGGCCCCGGCTTCATCTATGAAGAACTGCAACGGGGAATTACGTAACTGGATCTTGTGTTGGTAGGGATGAATCGACTCGTCGGCTGGGCGCTCCCGGGGGCAGGCAGGTAAGCACGGATATCGTAGAAGGGTGTCCGTGTTCCGTCTGCGAAAAACCCCGTTACTTGTAACGTGTTTGCATCTCAAACACACCTCGAAAATCCGGATTAATTTTAATCTCACCAGGACGAATATGGGAACCTATCCGCCACTCCTACGGGACCCATACCCTTTCGTTTCATCCCTTATGAGTACGTTCCTGCCATTGTGTTCTATCTCCGAAGTGGGCAGTGCCGAGCGGATCGGAAATGATGAGGATGGCGGAGAAACTGAAGAAGCTGGAGGAGGTGGTGAAGAAGATGGAGGAGGAGATGAAAGAGGAGAAGGAGGAGATGAAGAAGGTGGTAGAGGAGAAGGAGGAGGTTGTGAAGAAGGTGGTAGAGGAGAAGGAGGCGGTGGTGGAAAAGGTGGTAGAGGAGGTTGCGGTGGAGAAACGAAGAAAGGTAGAGGAGGTTGAGATGGAGAAGCGTAGAAGGGCGGCGTTGGAAGAGGAGCTTGGAAGGTTGAAGGAGAATACCCGAGACTACTCCTGCAGCAGTCCCAATAGGAGACGGTGACTCACGGCGGCTAGTAGATTGCAAAGCTGCGTTTTCCGAAAAGTACGTGTCGAAGCCGGGAAGTCTTTCTCCAGATGCTTTCATGGCAATCATGACCAATGCTGCAAATCAGGAAGTCAGCACGTCCGTCGGTCAGTCTAGTGGCTGGGGCAAGTCCCGGTTTTTGTGCGAGGTGAGCACCCGGTTCAGATGTCTGTACATCAGCATGGAGTACAGTGTGAGTATGTATTCTCGGCAGACTCGAAGTTACGCGCCTTTGAAAATGATACTGGAGGCGGCTGCTTCGGATCCAGATCTGGTGGTCAGCCATTTGATGAACTGCTTCTCCCAGTACTTGGACCGGGCCACCAGAGACCCTCATATCCAGACGCTAACCAACGCGGAATGGTTTAGATATCAACTGGAGGAATGGAACCCTGGGTACGACGTGAGGATTGTGGGCGGCACTCTGACTCCACTTTTGCGGGCGGAGGCGAAGGCGAGATTAGCGGATGCGATCACTAAGTTCAAGGAGCACTATCGGGTTAGCTGCGTCCTGGTCCTCTACGATGAGGCAGCTGCCCTGCTCGAGCCTTTCTCTGCCAGTGGGTTACCGCGATTTCGGCTGTTCCGACGGGCATTTACTGTAATGGGCATGACTGCTTGCTTTGCCAGCACGCAGTCCAAGGTTCAAAACTTTGCCCCCGCTCTCCACAGAGATGAGTCGTACAAGGAATATACCATGACTCAATTGGAACGCCCCTGGATGCCTTCCCCATTTCTTGTGATCAATCCAGTGGATGTCAGCGTTGGTGACGTGTTGTATCCACTGTCTTTGGCTGATCTTCATAGCGCAGGCAATCTGTCACAATTCGGTCGGCCTTTGTGGTGGTTCTTCTTCAAACATATAACTTCGAGCTACTGCAGTGCTCAACATGTGTTGACGACGGTTGCTCGCGAGAAGCTCAACTTTGGCTGCGGCGAGTGGTCGGGTGTGGCTGCTATAATGATCGTTGCTGCTG